AAAAAAAAAATAAATAAAAAATTAATAGGCTAAAGTAACTCTTGGCACAGTGTAATTCATATATAAAAAATAACAAAATATTTCTAATATTCAAATCAAATTACTTAGCTGCAGCTGCAATTAATTATATTCATTAAAAATTAATTTCTATACATTTAAAGCTCTTGTCGAATGAGCAACTTCGTCTTAAAAAAAAAAATAAATAAAAATAAAACCCTTTCATAAAAAATATATTATTTATATTGCCATGGTTTGCCACAGTGTATATAAGTGAAGCATGGGGCACGAAAGGTTTTCTTATTACTTATGTAAATTCCATGCTCATGCTGGAACATTTTCCCGAGAGACGAAATCATCGCTGCAAGACTCTGCTCCGCTATCGCTATCCATTCCCTTTTACTTTCGGGGTGTAGACAAGTCAAAAGTGAAAGTAAAAGGCAAGCCAAATGTTACATAACAAATTTCCCACTGGGAAGAATCTCAAGCTGCTGTCGGCACTCGAAGCTACACCTGGAGCAGATAATTTTATGTACGCTGACGGCTGCTATTATATTAATTATTAATATAATTAATTATTGCATATTGCACTATATTAATTATAAATATTATATATAAATATTATATAAAATACTATGAAATAAACTAAAAATAATAAAATTACATTCAACAATAAATATGGACACCCAATGTAGTCGAACAGCTATTTGTTGAGCATTATTTGAATATTAATAATAGTAAATAATAATTTCACAATAATGAAAATCATTTGAATTGGCAATAACAAACAAATTTAATTTACTATGAAGTAGCTGCCAAAACAAACAAACATAAATCACAATTAATATAGTTTTTACACAGATCTGATAAGCTCAAAATAAACTTCAAGAGCAGAAACTCCAGCCGCAAGGCCAGAAACAATAGATAAATGAATGTAGATATTAGGCTTGGCATCATTTGTATTCATCATCAAGATGGCCCGCATGTGACATTGAGACATTAAGAATGTTTCTTGTATTAGATTCCATTTCGGCTCTTCACTGACTCAAAGGGATAGTTACTTTTATCGCAACATTTTTGTTGTTATTTGTTTTCTTTTTTTTTTAGCACTTTTCACTTGTTGATGCGTTGCCTTGAGCTGCATAAAAGTCAGTCGAATGACTTTCTCTTTTTTCGGGCAGCACTTAATTTAATGAAATGTGTCACACGGCGAGCGCGTCTTCATTTTTCATTCATGCACAGAGCGAAAGTGAGATGCTCACTCGAGAGAGAGACCGAGAGAGAGAGGGAGAGAGAGACACTTGAGAACTTCATGCGCGTTGCTATTTGGTCATTATTAGCCCGAGCCGTGACACAGATGCGAGTCCTTTGACTAAGTGCTATCTTGTTAACCTGCTTACACACTGCACGCTCATTAATCATGGCTACACTTGACAAAATTTCGCTGTACATAATTTGACACTCGCGCCGCACTCGGGTTGGGGGCAAACATTGTTGGCAAATCAACAGCTTTACTACACGCTGCTGGCATTACAGTTTCCACAACTTTCCGGGCGTAGTGCTAACTTTCGCATTACCGTTGCGCAATAAATTTTCAAGTGTAAGAAAAAAATTTATCACTTGGCAACGCACAGCAACAAAAGTTGCGTTCGCCTGCCAACGACAACGACGCCCGCATGGGCATGTAAAGTTTACAGCTTCGCCCGGCCACGCCCCCATTGGGTATTTAATCGTGGCAGTGACAGATCCGCAACGCTCATAAATAACGCAACAAACTTCCAGCAGCACTGGCACATCGAACCCCAGTGGAGCCCGTGTCGACTGCCTATAAAGATCTGCTCAGGGCACATTTAACCCTGTTAAGCCCCAACACTGAGCGCTTTTAGCCAGGCTAGCAGGCTGGCAGGCTGGCAGGCTGGCTGCTCATTAAAAACTTAGAGGCTGTCATCAAGGCGACGTCACACTCCACACTCAAATTCACAACTAAGCAGACAGGCAGACACCCGGACAGACAGACAGAAGGACTCGGCCTATGCCTCTGACACCGTCGCGCGCAATTGCCACTGAGCTTAATTATGCCGCTCAACAGCACGGCAAAGGGCGCATCTCATATGCATTTCACAATGAACGGCAAAGGCTAATTAGTCGTGGCTCACAAGTCAAAGCCAGGGAAAAGGCATGAGCAGACAGTTGATGTTGCATAAGAACGAGCGCAATCAGAGAGACGTCAAGAAGGTCAGCCGGTGTGGCATGTGCTCTACTTTTCAACTTCTAGTCAACTTTAGAGTGTCACATGTCTGCGTGATGCGACTGTCTAGCTACTATAGTCAGGAAATATACATAAATTAGAGCTAGAGGAAGGTGGAAATAGGTTTGCATGCATTGATATTCCGGAAAACTAAACTGCAATGGAAGATTATTTTTGAAGAACCTGTAGATCCTATCCAATATCTCTGATTCTCATGTATCAATTATGTAGTATTCATGTACCATTCATGTAGTATTCATGTACCTTTCATTTACCATTCATGTACCAGTCATGTACCATTTTATTTAAATTTATGTTTGCTGCAATGCCAAGAATTTAATTTCAAATACAAATGCAACATAATCCAAATCCCTTCTAGGTTTATATTCAAATCTTCAGCAATTGATATATCAGAGTTTTCTCAACTCAGCTCAACACCTTTAAAAAGTTCTTGTTTTCATTAACAATTGCAGCAAATCTCAACTTTTTCAATTTAAAGATTCGTTTACCATCAACTTTTGTGTTTCTCTCCATTTTACCTTATATTGTTTTATATTATCTCTCTCTCTCTCTCTCTCTTCCTTTCTCTCTCTCTCCCTCTCTGCTGTGTTGCAACACATAAATTCCGTTTACATTTTCACCCAACTGCAGCAACACTTCCCTTCGGTTTTCAGCCAACAACAACAACAACAATTTCACACCTGCCTTACACCTGCTGCAATGCAACCGCACCCACGCAAGCCGACAGTTAGAACTTCATCATTATTCAGAGCTGGCAGCAGCAGGAACAGCAACAACAATGGACTAGCAGCTGGTTTTTGGCCTAGTTTTAAAATGTGTAGCCAACAACGATAATAAACAAGCAGCCATAACAACAACAATAACAACAACAACAGCAGAAACAATAGTCAGAAGATTGGGTCCGAAGCAAATTATATAGCCCGTGTTTGGCTTAGGCGAATGCAACAAAGCTTTGCGGCCGGGCATATGCAAATGAGCACACATACAGATACACACACACACACACACACACACACGGCCAAATATTGAAAGCCAAAGGGGTTTTAAAGGATATTTTCTTGTTGCATTCGTATTTGGCCAAATATTGCGGCTTTGGCGTGTTTTCCTTTTCTGTCATTTTCGAGCATTTGCTTTGTGCATAAAACACATTCATTAGGCCAAAGCACAAACACACACAAGCACTAGCACACACTCACACACACACACACGTTACGCAGCCAAACGCATAGAGCATTTGGCCTAATGCCTCCGAAGGTCGTACTCTGCCGTTGTCTGCCAATTTGTTTTGCGGCCAGGCCGATTGCAGTTCTGACCTCATTTCACTTGCATAATCATTGCTCACTAATTGTTGTTTACTGCAGGCAAAGTTCTGTGATGTTAAATGCCATTTGAGCTCTAGCCTCCTCCTGCCAATTGTGCTGCACATGGTTAACTATGACAACTTGGTGTATTTGCCTGTTATGATAGCCAAGTAAATATTGTG